AGCAGAGGTGGAGTAGCCTCTGGGTGGAGCAGGACATATAACCATATATGGAGATAAAAATGACGTCTTCTCCACATTTTCATAAAACTGTTTTGTACGACATTGTGAGTCTGAGCCAGAGACAGAGAGGACCTGGGAGCCCTCTCTGAGTGCCGTTTGCATGTTCTCCCCGTGTCTGCGAGAGACAAATGCCCAAACATAACAATCGTAAAGCGCTTTGAAACTCTATAAATACAGATTCCTTACTTATTACATTTTCAGGCCTGGAGGGAGAGTTTAGTTCAGCTCCTAGGGTTAGTTAGGGATAGAAGAGTTTGGAGAGTTTTAGATTAGTATTTAATTGTAAAGAGAATATCTTGGTCTTTTCTGGTCACATTCTGAAACATGTCTACAAATACCCTATGCTAATGTCCTATGCTAATGTCCTATGCTAATGTCCTATGCGAATGTCCCATGCTAATGCCCTATGCTAATGTCCTATGCTAATATCCTAGCGACGCAAGCATACAAAAGCAAATATGTGTTTTTTTGCCTCTGCTTCTCATTCCGGGGCCGCGGCGCCCTTGGGTGCAGGAGTGATCTTTGCAAAAGGACACGGTGACCTGCTTAGTTGTAAAATATGCTCGGAGGCGGTCTGACACCTCGCCTTTTATAGAAACCAGTGAATGAAACAGAAAGCTTTATTCTCCAGACAGATAATTCACGCCGTCACTTTCCAAATGAATGAAGTTCCAGCGTGTGGCTCGTCCTTATCACAAACACTGAAAGGAGCCGGCTCTTATTGTCTAAATGCGTTAATTGGTTTCTCAGAGTTCACTCCACTGTCTTTTGTCTGAGACTTGGTTTTCATTTCTAGATGCGGAGTGCTTTTGTAGTGTCCTTTTTATGATGAATATATTCTGGTGCTGTGGCTGGAGCGGCGTCGAGGAAAGCCCGCGCCCCGCCGTGCTTTACCCGCGCTTTGTGTCTTTAACTGAAGTCAGCAAAGTGATAAATAACATTACTGCTATCTGACATTTAGGATAAATGTTGTTGGATTTGAAGAGCTTATGTTGGAGCCGTAATAAGCCGCGAGCTGTTTTCTCTGCTCCCTCCATCCTGCTTTTATCTTTTGGAAAAGGGCAAAAAAAATCTCATTTTGACCCGCGGCGGCTTCTGCAGCTTCCAATCTATAGGTCTGTGGTGTTTCTGTTGGATGTTTTAATAGTAGAGATGAACACCAATAACAGCAGATTTAAAGTTTAAGAAACGGTCGCCGCCGACAACAACAAAAATAAAGACCAGGAAAAATCGATCCAGTGATCAATCTCAATTTGAGTTTGTGTTTTCCGCGCTCAGCCTCTCCTGCCCCAGGGAAAAACAGGATTAAACTCTCCACAATCTGAACGTAACGCAGCCCGGGACTCTCCAAAGGTCTGGGGTCGGAAACACTGGAACCAGCAGCGAGTCCTGAGTGTCTCCTCATGGTCCGTACCAGGTGGACCAGGTGAAGATCCACTGGAGGAATGCTAACTTTATGAAAAATGCTAATGAAGCATTTATCATTTTACTTTGGACCAGAGAAAATGGTCTGAACCGAGCTCCACCTCTGCTGCTGTGACCCGTCCTGCTCCACCCAGAGGCTACTCCACCTCTGCTGCTGTGACCTGTCCTGCTCCACCCAGAGGCTACTCCACCTCTGCTGCTGTGACCAGTCCTGCTCCACCCAGAGGCTACTCCACCTCTGCTGCTGTGACCTGTCCTGCTCCACCCAGAGGCTACTCCACCTCTGCTGCTGTGACCCGTCCTGCTCCACCCAGAGGCTACTCCACCTCTGCTGCTGTGACCCGTCCTGCTCCACCCAGAGGCTACTCCACCTCTGCTGCTGTGACCTGTCCTGCTCCACCCAGAGGCTACTCCACCTCTGCTGCTGTGACCCGTCCTGCTCCACCCAGAGGCTCCTCCACCTCTGCTGCTGTGACCTGTCCTGCTCCACCCAGAGGCTACTCCACCTCTGCTGCTGTGACCCGTCCTGCTCCACCCAGAGGCTACTCCACCTCTGCTGCTGTGACCCGTCCTGCTCCACCCAGAGGCTACTCCACCTCTGCTGCTGTGACCCGTCCTGCTCCACCCAGAGGCTACTCCACCTCTGCTGCTGTGACCAGTCCTGCTCCACCCAGAGGCTACTCCACCTCTGCTGCTGTGACCTGTCCTGCTCCACCCAGAGGCTACTCCACCTCTGCTGCTGTGACCCGTCCTGCTCCACCCAGAGGCAACTCCACCTCTGCTGCTGTGACCTGTCCTGCTCCACCCAGAGGCTACTCCACCTCTGCTGCTGTGACCCGTCCTGCTCCACCCAGAGGCTACTCCACCTCTGCTGCTGTGACCAGTCCTGCTCCACCCAGAGGCTACTCCACCTCTGCTGCTGTGACCCGTCCTGCTCCACCCAGAGGCTACTCCACCTCTGCTGCTGTGACCCGTCCTGCTCCACCCAGAGGCTACTCCACCTCTGCTGCTGTGACCCGTCCTGCTCCACCCAGAGGCTACTCCACCTCTGCTGCTGTGACCTGTCCTGCTCCACCCAGAGGCTACTCCACCTCTGCTGCTGTGACCCGTCCTGCTCCACCCAGAGGCTACTCCACCTCTGCTGCTGTGACCCGTCCTGCTCCACCCAGAGGCTACTCCACCTCTGCTGCTGTGACCCGTCCTGCTCCACCCAGAGGCTACTCCACCTCTGCTGCTGTGACCTGTCCTGCTCCACCCAGAGGCTACTCCACCTCTGCTGCTGTGACCTGTCCTGCTCCACCCAGAGGCTACTCCACCTCTGCTGCTGTGACCCGTCCTGCTCCACCCAGAGGCTACTCCACCTCTGCTGCTGTGACCCGTCCTGCTCCACCCAGAGGCTGCACCATGTCTCTGCTAGACCCAGGACTGGGGAAAGTAAACAATTATAAAACCGTTCTTTAGCGGTGCATACAACTGAGATTATTATGATTTTAATGTTATCTTGTTTAGTTTAGCACTTTGTTCCCTTGTGTATGAACTGTTCTATACAGATAAACTTGCCTTATGAAGAAGTGAAGGATTATACAAGACTCATTTCTTTTTTCTCTGGGTTTTCTATCGCACAAAAAAAGCACATATCGTAGCGTTTGAAAAGGCCTTAGCACTTTGCACTGGCAGCACTTGGGGACTTGGAAGTGCTCTTGTGGTTATTACAGTGTGAGATGTTCACTCCAGAGACGACGCACAATTAGCAGTTAATGCAGGACACTTGGGCTCATCACAAATCCAATACCGCGCTGCCCTTCCAGCGAAAGTCAGCGGCTGTTTAGATATCGATCTGACAAGGCGCTAAAGATAAAGTCTGCTACTAGTCACTTTGTATGGATTAGCTAAGAACCGAAAATGTCATGTTTTGATACGAGCTCCAGCGTAGACTGTCCTGCCGCACACTGGGGGATTCTTGCACAGTTTTTCCAATGTGGTTTTACTGCAAATGGTAAATAAATTCATCCTGAAGCGCTTTACTGTTCGACCGAAGTGGAAGGTTGGGGATTAGCAATAGCACTTTATCTTGTCGCTGTTCACTCATTATTCTTAACCTCATGAATGGTGGCTGAGTGGTTAGCACTGGCTGAGTGGTTAGCACTCTCGCTTCTCAGCAAGAAGGTCTGTTTGCATGGAAAGTTTGCATGTTCTCCCCGTGTCTGTGTAAGTTTCCCCTGCCACTAAAAACATGTACAACAGTCTGACTGTAAATGAGTGAACGGAGGGTGTTTGGTCGGAGGCTTTGATGGACCAGTGTGGAGAGAATGGACAAACTCTGAACTCTGTGAAGCTTTGGGTGACATTGGTCTGTGAAAATGTGCTAAATAAATAATCATGACTTAAAGGGAGCAGATCTCTTCCATGTTCAATTCAGTCCAATATGATATTCTGGCATCGCCCTGAACCACAACAGGAGTCGTCCCGGAGGACTTTCGATTCGCCAACACAGATCAGAGAATCAGCAGAGAAGCTTCATGAGGTTTCTCCCTCTTTCCCACTGGGTTTGTGGGTTATTGCTCGATGAAGAAGGGTCTAAGGACAGTGGATCCAGGACATGATAATAATCATAATGCATCAGTTTTATACAGCACATTTTTGGACACTTTAAACTACTACTGTAGCCACAGCTGCCCTGGGGCACACTGACAGAAGCGAGGCAACCAGTCTGTGCCATCGGCCCCTCCCACCACCACCAACCATTCACACACACACCAGACTCATTCTAGGCAATGGGGGTGAAGTGTCTTGCCTAAGGACACAACCACAGTTTGGCACGTTACAGCCACAGCCGCCCCACTGTGGAACCTGCTGTTCTCAGAGGTTAAGTGTCTTGCTCAAGGACACAACAACGGCAGACATCAGTGGGAGTCGGTGGAGGGTTGTGGTGGACTCGAACCCACGACCTTCAGGCTCAAAGGCCACTGCTCTACCAACTGAGCCACTGTCCCTGACCTTTAAGGACATTTATGGACAGTGGTGATCCGTGTTTTATCGTTGCATTTCCTGAGTGTGTTTGATTCTCTGATCTGTGTTGGTGAAACTGAGATAACTACAGTTGTGATTTAAGGCTGCACAAAACTGTCCTGATCTCATCGTCCTTTAGACTCTTTGACTAATGTTACTGCGTTGTTTTTCCACTGGCCTCGTGCTCCGTCATGTTTTCTCGTCTGTTACTCCTCCTGGAAGTCAGCGTTTCAGATTTATGCTAAAAGTCTTTCTACAAATGAAGCTTCTAATCTGACAATGTTCAATCTTGTGCAACGGGAAAGCTGTGATTTCTTGATATTTAAAACACCTTTGTCAGATTCTCCGTGTCTGAATCGTGCTGGACACTTCTCTTTTCATTTCATTTTTATTGATTTCATTCAGCTTTGTAACATACATAACAAACACGGCTGGAGCGGAGTCGACTTGTTTGTTCTGTTCTCGTCTGACATTGATTTGTTTTCATATTCTGTGTTTTGTTTCAGCAACTGATGCGAGAGCGGCAGCAGATGGCCAGTCGTCCGTTTGCTTCGGTGGCGGTTGCACTGGACTCTTGTGGAGAACAGACAGAACTGCTGCAGCCGGCGATGGACGTAAGACTCCATTTTGTTTGTTTGTGGCTCCACGCTGTTCTGTAACGACCACATGAAGCAACAAGAAGCTAAACAGTTTAGTTTTTATACAACATTACAGAGAGTGGCTCAGTTGTAGAGCATTGGCCTTTGAACCTGAAGGTTGTGGGTTTGATTCCACCACGAGACCTTCTCCACCGACTCCCACTGATGTCTTACCCCACTTTGCCTGAAGCCCCCACTGAAAGATCTCAGCTCCTGTGGATCAGGGAGGGGCTGGTGCTCTGACTGCCACCCCCGACCCAGGAATGGACAAAGGGGAAGAAAATGGGTGGATGGAAAAAAACAGAAAACAACAAAATATTCTTTATATGAGCATTTGTTCCGATGGCCTCAGCTTCGCACCGTGACAGAGGCAGATGTTTTCTAAGATGCTGGAGTTACCTTATGGCTCTTATCTTTACAGACAATATCAAAACATAAACACAGGATCACAGAGAACGCTGAGAGTGACGCAAACGATTACTGAGCTGGAGGAGTTTATTTTCTCAATGCTAATCTTCCCCATAGGGTTTCATTGAGCTAGTGTGTTAGCATTGTCCATCTATATCCAGTCTCTAAAGTGAGCACAGACGGTCCAATCCGCTCTAATTGATCACGTTGTAGAATTGTGTGTTTTTTGACCTGCTCCATTCTTCATCTCACAAAGGTCCACATCAATAAGAATCCAGACCGACTCCTAATGACTCCAACAATCGGCCGCTTTCACAAAACATTTTTTTCTGAGCAGTTTCTTTAAGACCATTAAAGACGATTATAGATTATTATTGATTATTATAGATTTCTGAGAGAAGAAAGTACGACTGGACTCGAGCTTCAAAGACACAAATTGGGTTTTAGTTTTTCTTTTGTCCGGCAGGTTTCTGGGTCAGAATCTAATAAGTGTGATTTTTTTATTTTCCACAAACTCGAAGATCGACTTCAGAATGTATAAAAGTAAAAACTATTAAAACTACAAATATACACAACACTGATGCATTTAAAACCCAGAGAACTGTTTCAACCTAAGACTTCCTTATCTTTGGGATCACATTAAAACAATTACAAACTTGATTCTGAGGCAAAGAAATAGACTGCTTACAACTCTAAAAATACTTAAACGTCTTGATCTGCAATTCTATTACATAAATATATTTTTTTATTATCTTTATTTATCAGACTTGAAGTCCATAAAAAACAAACAAACACATATAGATACGACATTAGGACATTTTAATTGTACCACATATTAGCACTGAGATCCAACTGCTCATTTTTTATTATTTATCATTTTTTTCATATTGATATTGTAATAAATATCACTTCTGCCTATTTTAGTACGAAAAGTGTGTTTGGCTTAAACTTAATACAAATCTGAATGTCCTTTAGCCACAGTTTACATTTCAAACACAGGGCTTTAGCTTTGGCATCTGAAGGGAAAGAGAGACCCCCCTGAGCGTCTTCTGAAGGGAAAGAGAGACCCCCCTGAGCGTCTTCTGAAGGGAAAGGGACCCCCCTGAGCGTCTTCTGAAGGGAAAGAGAGACCCCCCCCCCGAGCGTCTTCTGAAGGGAAAGAGAGACCCCCCTGAGCGTCTTCTGAAGGGAAAGGGACCCCCCTGAGCGTCTTCTGAAGGGAGAGACCCCCCCTGAGCGTCTTCTGAAGGGAAAGAGAGACCCCCCTGAGCGTCTTCTGAAGGGAGAGACCCCCCCCGAGCGTCTTCTGAAGGGAAAGAGAGACCCCCCTGAGCGTCTTCTGAAGGGAAAGAGAGACCCCCCTGAGCGTCTTCTGAAGGGAAAGGGACCCCCCTGAGCGTCTTCTGAAGGGAAAGAGAGACCCCCCTGAGAGTCTTCTGAAGGGAAAGAGAGACCCCCCTGAGCGTCTTCTGAAGGGAGAGACCCCCCCTGAGCGTCTTCTGAAGGGAAAGAGAGACCCCCCCTGAGCGTCTTCTGAAGGGAAAGAGACCCCCCTGAGCGTCTTCTGAAGGGAAAGAGAGACCCCCCTGAGCGTCTTCTGAAGGGAAAGGGACCCCCCTGAGCGTCTTCTGAAGGGAGAGAGAGACCCCCCCTGAGCGTCTTCTGAAGGGAAAGAGAGACCCCCCCTGAGCGTCTTCTGAAGGGAAAGAGAGACCCCCCTGAGCGTCTTCTGAAGGGAAAGAGAGACCCCCCCTGAGCGTCTTCTGAAGGGAAAGGGACCCCCCTGAGCGTCTTCTGAAGGGAAAGAGAGACCCCCCTGAAAGTCTTCTGAAGGGAAAGAGAGACCCCCCCTGAGCGTCTTCTGAAGGGAAAGAGAGACCCCCCTGAGCGTCTTCTGAAGGGAGAGACCCCCCCTGAGCGTCTTCTGAAGGGAAAGAGAGACCCCCCTGAGCGTCTTCTGAAGGGAGAGACCCCCCCTGAGCGTCTTCTGAAGGGAAAGAGAACCCCCCCTGAGCGTCTTCTGAAGGGAGAGACCCCCCCTGAGCGTCTTCTGAAGGGAAAGAGAGACCCCCCCTGAGCGTCTTCTGAAGGGAAAGAGACCCCCCTGAGCGTCTTCTGAAGGGAAAGAGAGACCCCCCCTGAGCGTCTTCTGAAGGGAAAGAGACCCCCCTGAGCGTCTTCTGAAGGGAGAGACCCCCCTGAGCGTCTTCTGAAGGGAAAGAGAGACCCCCCCTGAGCGTCTTCTGAAGAGAGAGACCCCCCTGAGCGTCTTCTGAAGGGAAAGAGAGACCCCCCTGAGCGTCTTCTGAAGGGAAAGAGAACCCCCCCTGAGCGTCTTCTGAAGGGAGAGACCCCCCCTGAGCGTCTTCTGAAGGGAAAGAGAGACCCCCCCTGAGCGTCTTCTGAAGGGAAAGAGAACCCCCCCTGAGCGTCTTCTGAAGGGAAAGAGAACCCCCCCTGAGCGTCTTCTGAAGGGAAAGAGACCCCCCCCTGAGCGTCTTCGGAAGGGAAAGAGAGACCCCCCTGAGCGTCTTCTGAAGGGAAAGAGAGACCCCCCTGAGCGTCTTCTGAAGGGAAAGAGAGACCCCCCTGAGCGTCTTCTGAAGGGAAAGAGAGACCCCCCTGAGCGTCTTCTGAAGGGAAAGAGAGACCCCCCTGAGCGTCTTCTGAAGGGAAAGAGAACCCCCCCTGAGCGTCTTCTGAAGGGAAAGAGACCCCCCCCTGAGCGTCTTCTGAAGGGAAAGAGAGACCCCCCTGAGCGTCTTCTGAAGGGAAAGAGAGACCCCCCTGAGCGTCTTCTGAAGGGAAAGAGAGACCCCCCTGAGCGTCTTCTGAAGGGAAAGAGAGACCCCCCTGAGCGTCTTCTGAAGGGAAAGAGAGACCCCCCTGAGCGTCTTCTGAAGGGAAAGAGAGACCCCCCTGAGCGTCTTCTGAAGGGAAAGAGAGACCCCCCTGAGCGTCTTCTGAAGGGAAAGAGAGACCCCCCTGAGCGTCTTCTGAAGGGAAAGAGAGACCCCCCCTGAGCGTCTTCTGAAGGGAAAGAGAGACCCCCCTGAGCGTCTTCTGAAGGGAAACATAGAGGTGTCGTTAGATCTTGTCTGTTTTCAAAGATCTTACACATTTTACACTAAGAAAAAGAATGAAATCCTGTTCCGCCTGAAGCCAGTTCTGACCAGTGTTGTACGATGAGTCCTAATGTAATATTATTATAGTGTCACACCCTCTAACTCACATGTGTCAAAGTCAAGGCCCGCGGGCCAAATCCGGCCCGCGAATGAGTTTTACATGGCCCGTTGCCCGCCATTGACGCACTATTACGTCAATTGCGGTTTCCGCTATTGTCATGTTCCCAGATGTCTATTATATCTAATATGTTTGGGGATAAGCTTGAGAGCATTTTGAATCGAGCCAGCAGGTGGCAGCAGCGCTCTCTGAATGGTTTGAAAACAGCTAGATGCACTTGTTGTGCCTCTTTTTTCTCAGCTTTTTGGTGATTTTAGTAAAACTTCCTTCTACTCAACTGGGGATTACAAGCTAGAAACAAAATTATTTTTGCTGATGAAAGTAGACAGTCTATTCTCTCAGAATCTGGTTTCGGATTTCAGATAGTCATAGTACACAATAGTCTGTGGGTCTTGAAAAATCTATAACAATCATCAGAAACTGCTGGCAATATGGGAGTACCTGTTCTGAAATGGGCTGGCAGGCAATGAGTTAATAAACATTGAACCAGTCCGGCCCTCGGCTCGCAGCAAATTTGTTTTTTTGGCCCTCTGATGTATTTGACTTTGACATGCCTGCTCTAACTGCTCTCCTCTTGATCTGTCTCAAACCTTGAAGTACTTCAGAGCGGTACCTTGGACAGCTCCACAAACTCCTCCTGCCACTCGGGTTTCGCACACGGCAGTAAAATATCACTGCATTTTTCTTCTTTTTGTGTGTAAATTGACATCCGTGGACCAAGTCTGCCTCTTCAGCCACGACCCAGAGCACCGACACCTGCTGCTGAGGAGGATAAAATCACTGTGGCAACCAGCAAAAAGCCTCTGCATTAGCTATTAGCGCGAGAGTGCTGCTCACAGTGCATTATGGTGCAGTGAAGGGCAGTTTGAAGAGGCAAGGAGGAGAAAAACAATGCTTTCTTTACTCTCGCCGGAGCAATTTGGTCTGCATTTTCCCAGGCATTTAAATACAGTGGGGTCTGAGTAATGCCACTAACCATTATATTTACTGCGACAGCTTAGATTAAAGTGGGATGTTAATTAGGTGCTGTATAAATGTCAGACTTCAGAGCATACTTTACCAACCGCCTGAGTCCTCCGATACAAACATAAAGCACACTTGTTCTTTCTCTCGTGGGCTGCGGCGGAAAATATATATTCTGTTCGAAAGCCCTTTTAGATAATGATAAGACTCTTGCTTTTCCCGACCTTTTCGAGATGTAGGTCGAACTCTACTTGCTGTGGTTTACTTTTGTTGAATATAAGGGGCTGCAAATCTAGTCTGTTCTCTGGGATCTGGGTAGAAAATAAATATGTAATTAGTGGTTTTGTCGTCTTTGCCAAATGCTGTCGTTCTGCCACTTACAAAAATGGCTCCTTCGTCGGTGCCATTTGGCGAGATGCTAAAATGTTGGAGATTGAAGTTTCAATTTTGTTTCGAGTTTGCGTTCCCCCGAGTTCAGAAATCTTCTCTTTGTGTTACTTTCACTTTGAGCTGACACGGTTCATGAAGTCGGAAAATATAGAAGTCATTTTCCGTTCGATCTTTTAGTCAATTATCTGCGTCAAGCATTTGTTCACGTCTCATTTCTCCATCTCACTCTCAGTAAAAATGCTAAACTAAAGACCACATCAAGGAATATATCACCTGTGAACATGCTAATGCTAATGCTAATGCTAATGCAGGCTTGTGTTTTGGAGCAGCACCACCCTCTCCTTTGATGACATAAATACTTAAAGCTATACAGCAGGATCTTCTACTTCCTGGTGGATCATCAAGACTATTGGTCCTTCTAACTGTCAATCATTCTGCTGATACGTGCTCGTCCAATGAGAGCAGAGATTAAACCTTCTCGATCACTAACATCACTAACCTATAATCTCCCTTTGACTTACTGAGCGAGAGGAGTTTACTTTTCAATATACATTCACTATTTTTGGCTTTGAAGTCCATGGTTGTGCTCTCTCTAAATCCAGATATGAGCCCAAACCGACCAATCAAGAGCCGTCTGTTGCTGATTTTGGCTTTAGCGAGCGGTGCAAGTGCAGGACCGACTGGCACGGCTCCTGATTGGTGTTTGGTAACTCGGCCGTGGCTACTAAAAATAAAATACTTTGTCTGTAGTTTTGTGTCTTTGCTGTAGGGTCTCAGTCACAGGTGTCGACCCGGTCCAGGGTCTAGCTCCAGCCTCCAGCACGGCAGACTCCACCCATGTCCTCAAGCGAGTCCAGTTTGAAACTTTAAGAAATGGGTGGAGTCTGGTGGATCTAAAACCTGCAGCCGGTCCTTTTCTGGACTCATTGGACTCCCCTGGTCTAAGGACAGGGATGAACCGGGACAAACCAGGACATCCCGCTCCAATGACTCCTCTGTGTTTGTTTCTGTGACCTGTGGTTGTGGAAGCCTAGTCACGTCCTCCCAGAATCCACTGCTGCTGTGACAGTGCGGCCGTGGATAACTCCTTCACACATGTTACGCTCTGATGCAGCCAGTGAACTTTGCCGTGTGTGAGTATTTATCTATTAGCTGAAGGTTTTATTCCGGGCTCGGTCGTCACTCATGCGTTGGCAGACACCTTCATTTACCCGTGTCATACTGTACTGACAACATGGCTGACACCGCATCAGTTACAGCCTCTGCCACTAAGTTTTCACAGCCCTCCAGCTGGACCGAGAGGGCGGCAGCATCATCACGGCCGCTGTCGTGTGTATCTTTGGCTCGCATTACCCCCCCACAGCCCCCACACCCCCCACACCCCCCAGAGGCACAGACACTGCTTTTTACTGACCACAAAGTCAACAGCTGCCTTCACCACTGCGCCAATCTGGCAACAAAACGCCCAAAGGCCTGGATGTCACAGATGTCTCCCCTCATTTTGAATGGCGCTCAACATATGGGGAGTGAGAATGATAGATGACACCTGCCACTGGGAGAGAGAGGGGGGAAGGAGAGAGGGAGGGGGGGTGAGAGAGAGAGGGAGAGAGAGCAGGGAGGGGGGGTGAGAGAGAGAGGGAGAGAGAGCAGAGAGGGAGGGAGGGTGAGAGAGAGAGGGAGAGAAAGAGGGAGAGAGGGGGAGAGAGCAGAGATGGAGAGAGAGATGAAACCTGCCACTGGGAGAGAGAGGGGAAGGAGAGGGGGAGGGAGGGGGAGAGAGAGAGGGGGAGAGAGCAGAGAGGGAGGGAGAGAGGGAGAGAGGGGGAGAGAGCAGAGATGGAGAGAGAGATGAAACCTGCCACTGGGAGAGAGAGGGGAAGGAGAGGGGGAGGGTGAGAGAGAGAGAGAGGGGGAGAGAGCAGAGAGGGAGGGAGAGAGGGAGAGAGGGGGAGAGAGCAGAGAGGGAGGGAGAGCCAAGAGAAAAGGAGAGGGAAGAGGGCAGAGGGAAAGACAAGACAAGAGAGAGAGAGAGAAAGGGCCGAGACAAGAGCCAAGAGAGAGAGGGTAGAGAGGGAGAGAGTAGAGAGTAGAGGGGAGAAAGAGCCAAGACACGGTGGCTGAGTGGATAGCACTCTCGCCTCTCAGCAAGAAGGTCCTGGGTTCGAATCCCGGTCGGACCAGGGCCTTTCTGAGTGGAGTTTGCATGTTCTCCCCGTATCTGGGTTTCCTCCGGGTACTCCGGTTTCCCCTACCACTAAAAATATGTACAATAGTTCTGGCATGTGCCTCCTGTACTGGCGACCCCGCTCCCATCTCTGTGTGGAGTGAGAGACAAATGCCCCAAAAAAAATAACTATTGTAAACCGCTTTGTGACTCTGGTCTGTGAAAGGCGGTATATAAATAAAAACTTACTTACTTACTAAGAGAGAGGGCAGAGAGGGAGAGACGAGACGAGAGAGAAGACGAGCCAAGAGAGGAGAGAAAACCGAGAGTATGTAAATGTGTGCTTTCTTGGTTTGGTCTCATAAATGTGAGATCTGTCGTTCAGAGATGGAGCAGTGAGATCTGTCGTTCAGAGATGGAGCAGTGAGATCTGTCGTTCAGAGATGGAGCAGTGAGATCTGTCGTTCAGAGATGGAGCAGTGAGATCTGTCGTTCAGAGATGGAGCAGTGAGATTCTGTCGTTCAGAGATGGAGCAGTGAGATCTGTCGTTCAGAGATGGAGCAGTGAGATCTGTCGTTCAGAGATGGAGCAGTGAGATCTGTCGTTCAGAGATGGAGCAGTGAGATCTGTCGTTCAGAGATGGAGCAGTGAGATCTGTCGTTCAGAGATGGAGCAGTGAGATCTGTCGTTGATGTAAAGATCAGTGAAGTTTGATGTATTTTTAGCGAGCGCTGAGTGTAAAAAACATTGATCCAGAAAAAATCTCTGCTTTTCATCTTTATAATGTGCAGCTGGATACTCAGGACAGTACGAACCTGCAGCACACTGATCCGAAAAGATGTACTGGCCTGGACTGTTTTATTGATTGCATTTCCTTACCATCATAGATACGCAACAATGTGGGAAATTCTATCATATTTCAAATCTGGAATTTCGATGGTTAGATGCGTGATGCGGTTTCACAACACAAACGTTGAAACGTGCTAGCTCGGAGGCTACCACGTCATGAGCTTTTATTAAACCTACACAGACATGGAAAGCGACACTGCAATAACCACAAACCCTATAAACGACATTAGTCGCCTCACATTGGAGTTTCGTGAGAGGGACCGTGCCACTATTGCAGACCTCCGTAAAGAAGTCCTTCGCCTCACTGCAGAACTACAGGAAAAACAATCACTCGTGTCCAAACTCTTTGATGTCACTGGTGGGCAGCACTAACGACTTATGTCACTGAGCGCTGCATACTGTGACACTGTCGTGTGGGAGAGGTCTGTCAGCTCTGGACCCTCCTGTTCTACACCTAAGCGCCCGGTTCCAAATGAGGAACCCGCGAACTGCGAGGAGCCATCCAGCGCCGTGGCCCATGTCCTAAGCCTGTCAAACCGCTATGCAGCCCTCTCCACTGACATCCCAGCCCCCTCAGCAGAACCTCTGGACTCTGCAGCGTACTCTGCCGTTCGTGGATCTAAGTCCACTGCGAGAAAAACGCTCCTAAAGGAAGCCGTCCTCAGACGAAAGAGTGGTCATTCCCCTTCTCTGACCCCAGTGCATCACCACCGCTTACCTTCACCGGGTCAGCAGCAGCGACCCGAGCCTGCTCCTCACGCCGCTCCAGCGTCCCCGAGCACACAGCGTGGGTTGCCCGGAGCTGAGAATCAACACCCCCGCTCCTCTCCATGTGTTCAGCAGCGCCCTGGTTCGGACTCATCCCTGGATGAGCCCGCTGGTTCTGGCCATGGACACCGAGCGCCCTCTCCGCGGTTACGTCCACTCTTCGCCCCGACTTCTTTGATTGTTGGAGATTCCATCGTGAGACACGTCCGCTTTTTTAACGCGGTCACTTACTGTTTTCCCGGAGCCACTGTTCCAGACCTGCTCATCCGTCTCCCTCCTCTGCTTCAGTCCCTGCCTGATACCATTTCAAAGGTAATCGTGCATGTGGGGATCAACGACATGAAGCTGCAGCAGTCCGAGGTCACAAAGAAGCATTTTATGGATCTATTCCGCCTCCTCCAGTCCTCCGGGTTGTGTGTTTTTATCTCTGGTCCAGTCCCGACTGTAAACCGGGGAGACTGCTGGTACAGTCGCGTTGTGGCGCTGAACAGTCTACATGCAGCACTTTTAACTTTGTTTTTGTGAACAACTTTGGCCTGTTCTGGAAGCGTCACGAACAGATACGGTACCAGTT